GCTTAGCTCCAAAGCTAACAGAAATAACCAACTCTATCAATCTAACAACGTTTCAACAAACTCTTGATGACATGGCACTCTGATGCGGATATTGCCAACATTCCTATCCCCATGTTCTTTCATAAATACAAACGTTAACGCGTACGCTTCTTCTCAGACTTCCGTGTTCCCGCCGCCTGTTTCACACCATCTCTCTCTCTCTCCCTCTGCCTCTGAGTGGTAATGCGAGTGAAGGAATCTCATAAATAAAAAACCCATAAAAAAATCTCAACTTTTTTCTTTTCTTTCTTCAAATAAGAAGAAGAGACAGCGTTATTACAGAGTTTCTCAGCCTATCAATGGCGAAGTCGGAGAACAACAGCACCACCAAGAAGCTTTCTTACATTTCAGTCCCTTCTCAGATTATCAACTCTCTGTCTTCCTCTTCTCTGCAATCGCTCCTCGTTTCTGCCAAGAAATCTTCAAGGAGCAAAAGCAGCCGCTGCTTGAGCTGGCTCAGCAACTACAGGACCCCAAAGTTCTGGGTTTTCTTCCTCTTCCTCTTTGGAATTATTGGGATGCTGAAGCTGGGATTCAATCTCTACCGTTTCGTCCCGTACTCTCCATACCCATGTTCCACAACTCAGCTCCAGGACTTGGTCTCCAATAGGTACTCAAAATCACACATGGGTTTTGCTTCAAACGGTGAAAACAGCAACCAAGTCGAGGTTTTGAGCGAATCCCAGCCGTTGATTTCGAGTGGGGTTTTGCAATCAGAGGTGGGGGTTGAGCCAAACAGTGGGAAGGTCGGAGAGGAAGCTGATGGGAGTCAGTTTTGGAAGCAGCCGGATGGTTTGGGGTATCGGCCGTGCTTGGATTTGACGACGAAGTATAAGAGAGCTAGTGAGGGGATAGTGAAGGACAGGACTAAATACCTGCTTGTTATGGTTTCTGGTGGGATGAACCAGCAGAGGAATCAGATTGTCGATGCTGTCGTTATTGCCAGGATTCTTGGAGCTGCTCTGGTGGTTCCTATTTTGCAAGTTAATGTCATCTGGGGAGATAAAAGGTATACAATGTTCCAACTCAACTCACATTTTTCTCACTAAATTACTTGCCTTTTTTTGGATTCAATGAGTTGGTTTATGTATAGCTTATGTTGCAATATATTTGCTTAGGAGACTGAAATTGATTTTCTGTGTTTCGTTTGATGGGTGCAGTGAATTTTCTGATATATTTGATTTGAAGCACTTTAAGGAAGTTCTTGCTGACGATGTTCGTATAGTTTCTGCACTACCATCGACGCATAGAATGACGAGTCCAGTGGAGGTGAACCAGATTCCTCTACATGCTTCGCCTAATTGGATTCGGTCGCATTATCACAAGAGGGTAACAATCATTGCTGTCTTTGTGCTTGCATTGAAGCAACCCGGTTGTTTTTACTAAATATTTAAGGAAATATGGAATAGAGGAAAAGATGCTTTAGCAGCTGTTTAGTTTGTTATCTGTGGGCCTAGTGACACCAAATTTTTTTTGTTTGGTTGTTTGTTTTTGCTGGTGCGTTCCTACGAAAAAATGTCAGCTTTCTAACGGTTGTTCTCATATTTTAGTCTACAAGTGTTGCTACAATAGCATGGGAAGGCCTCAATAGCTCTACAGTGAGGGGCTCTATATGGGACTGAAAAAGTGGTGGATATAGCTCATTTTAGAGCTTCAAGGAATCTTTGAGGCTTTATAAAATAATATCTCCCAATGAGGGGCTATATTTTTCGGGCTCTATATGGGGCTATATATATTTATTTATGTAGTAATTTTATTAAGCAATGCTTTTTTTTTTTTTGTTAGCTTTTCTTAAGTTGATTTTTGGATGTGCTTAATTTTTTTTTTTTATGAACCCTTCAACCTAAAAAGTTCAAATTGTGACAAGGTTAGATTTCATCACTTATGAATCGTTTGTTGGACTAGATTCTCTTATCTCAAACTCATCTGTTTAAAGAAACAAACCCCCACTTCGCCCTCTAAAATAATTTGATTTTTCACGTATAACACGACAATTTACCTAGCACCAATTGGTAAATTAGGATCATACAATTTGAAAAAAAAAATTTATTTGAAAATTTCTCCCATCAATGCCCATGAACGTTAAATCAATTTGAAATTTTAATTCTTATCGAATTTAAAACAATCATTAATTAGCCAAATTGCAAGAAAAATAAGTAAGAAAAAAGAATTAAAATAATAATAAAAGGAGAGTATAAGTGTCTTCGCAAGTGGAGGGAGATTGATAGAATTTTGCTCACATAGGTTGCTACTTTTTTTGTGGGACCCACTGTTTTTTGGGGCTAGATGTAGCCTAATTTTATGCTACCCAAGAAAGGAAATTGCCAACCCCAGTGGTGGATTTAGCCCCATTTTCCGGCTCATTGGAGATGAAATTTATCGCTAAGGCTGGAAATGTAGTAGCCTCATGGAGGATAAAGCCCCCGGGGATGCTCTAACACAATTGAAGAGCCGTCCAGTCCAACCCTTATTACAATTTGTACTTATTATGTAAACCTTATGTGCAGACTGCAGATCGACTTTGTGTGCTGCCAAACATTTTAACTATGTAAAACAAATGACGATTTCAGGGTTTTCTGATCATGCTTAAGTCATTTTCCTTGTGTCTAATTTCGTAACATGATTTTTTAACCCTGTTTATCTGTTTTGTTATTTGTGGTTTTATAAACGAATTTCCTGTGGAATTCCAATTGACACTATAAATTATGCTAATTCCTCCTTTTTTATGCAGATTAAAAGAGAAAGGGTTCTGCTTCTAGGAGGCTTGGATTCAAAGCTCTCTAAGGATCTTCCCTCTGATCTTCAAAAGCTTCGATGCAAGGTAATTCGCTGAATATGTTTATAATTTATTTTTGTATATGCAAGCTGACTTTGTTTCATTACAGAATTGGAACAAGGTCCTATAGACAGCTGACTGTAATCTCTTCCTTATTTGACTTCAGGTTGCTTTTCATGCATTGAGGTTTGCTCCTCCAATTTTGGGAATTGGTAACAAGCTTGCAGAGAGGGTGCGCAATAAGGGTCCATACCTTGCGCTTCATTTAAGAATGGAGAAGGACGTATGGGTGAGGACCGGTTGTCTTCCTGGTTTGAGTCCTGAATATGATGAGATAGTTTACAATGAGAGGATACAGCGGCCAGAGCTCCTAACTGGAAGATCAAACATGACTTACCATGAAAGAAAACTTGCAGGTCACTGCCCCTTGAAAGCCTTGGAGGTGACCAGGTATGGTAGTCACATTTAGGCATTTTAATTAAACCAAATAGGTTGCTTTTTTCTTTTCTTTTTTTTTTTTTTTTTTTTTTTTGTATTTATTGTATGTAGCAGAGAGTTTTCTGACAAACCAAATCTTGTGTTTTAGGTTGCTTAAAGCTCTTGGAGCTCCAAAAAGTGCAAGAATATATTGGGCTGGCGGGCAGCCTTTTGGTGGAAAAGAAGCCTTACTACCGTTAATCGAAGAATTTCCCCATTTTTACAATAAGGAAGATCTTGCTTTGCCTGGTGAACTAGAACCTTTTGCAAACAGAGCTTCTGTCATGGCTGCCATTGATTATATAGTTTCCGAGAATAGTGATGTCTTCATGCCTTCTCATGGGGGAAATATGGGCCGTATTATGCAGGTATAATTATTTGTTTTTGTTTTAGTAAATGTATATACTATATGCTAGATCAAACAATTAGCAAATATGATCAAAATAAATCACGTTAACCGGTAATGCTTAGATAAATGCACGAAATGCTCAAAATAAATCGAGTGAAACAAATGAAATGCTTAGATAAGTGCACAACTGATCTGAAATATGAGCGATGTGTCATTGAGGCCTTTCCAATTTGGAGCAACAAAAAGAAATGTGTTGAGAAAATATGCATGGAAGACGAACAATATGAAATTATCGTACCTATGCTTTTCTAATTTGATGGAGACTTCACTTACACCAAGTTTTGTTTTCTCCTTCAGGGACAACGTGCCTATGCTGGCCACAAGAAGTATATAACCCCAGACAAGAGACATATGCTTCCGTACTTTCTGAACTCTTCTCTCCCTGAAGCAGAGTTCAATAGGATCATAAAGGAATTGCACAGAGATTCCTTAGGACAGCCAGACCTCAGGAGTAGTAGAGTTGGAAAAGATGTCACAAAGTACCCCATTCCGGAGTGCATGTGCAATGATACTAATACTCATTCGTACATGTGAGTCAATGCTGAAGATTTCGAGCACAATGCTAACTCTGCAATGGACCACCTAATCGAAAAATTTGAATTTCTCAGCAAATCCCTTGAATTTGAGCCTTCTGAAAAGTGGTTTGTTCTCCAGTGCAATGATGGTTCTTTGGATGGACGGTGATTTTAAGAGCAAAACCGCAGCATCACACTCTCATTTTGTGAGTTTGCTCACATTGTTTCTTCTACACTCCTTCCTTGGTGTACAAATTCAAGTGAGGCAAGACAAATGTCTGCTTATAAGACAACATCGTATAAGGTTCTGTGGAGAGAAACTCTGAAGCTTCACTGTCACCTGGATTCACTTCCGGACTTTCATGAGCAACTCAGCAGAAGGCGAAGGTCCCCTAATTCTTTAATTCTTTTGTAGGAAGAATTCTTTTTAGGATAGATTTTCCACATTTTGGTTCATTCATTTATTGTACCACGTCGATGTATAATATAGACATACGTGTATATAAGCATACTTCAAGTAATAAGCTATATATCTGTTTCACAAGCTCACATCATGTTGCTGTTGACATATTTTCCGGCTCTGCATACGGAAGTTGCAGCAGCGTCAGTTAGCGCTGAAATTTGTAACTTTCATGTAATGATCTCTGTACTTTGAAACAAATAAACAAGTAATACTCTGGACCTTAACCTTTCCCATTAGAGATTTGATATTACTTGTTCCAATCCGCAAATTATCTGATGTTACTAGTTCGAGTTGGGTGGAATCATGGAACAGTTTTCATCAGAACTTTAAGCACCCCATATTATTGATTTATTAAGGGCCAAATAGAATACATAAAGAGTTTTTACAACATCAACCTAAAATCTAGACAGAGATGCTGTTTGGAACACCGATTCCTCATCATCAAATTTAGATGGAGATGCTGTTTGGAACTCCCATTCCTGTGACACCGTGGGTTGAGAATGGCTTCAAAAGCTCATATGGAACAACGCCTGCTCCAACTCTGTTTTTCAGTTTCAAATTTTTATTTCTCTCATCAATAATTCCTTCTAGCCTCTTCAAATTGCCACTGAATTTCTCATATGCTGCCTTTATAACAGGATTCTCAGCCCAAGCTGACTTTAGACTCTCACCAATATACTCCTCATCGGGTGAATGATTCGATAGTAAATCTAACACGGCCATCACTTTTGTTGCTTGAATCTTTGAGGGGAAGCACAACAGCAGAGCCATTTCTGGGTTCTCCATGAACTTCTGGAGAAATTCAGATGAATCTTCAGTTGGCATGTTGGTTCGAGCAATTGTAGGGCGGTTAGGGAAATATCCACCATACATGTACTGACCAAAGTTCACGGCTACATGATGACCAGCGGTTACCCAAATGATAGTAGTCAAAGTGTGAATCAGACTTTCCGGAGTTTTCAAAACAGGCCACCATGGCTCATCTTTCTTGTCTGCATGACCTTTGGTTCTAACTTCTGTCCACCAACCTTGAAGCTCCGTATCAGACTCAATAAGATTTGGGTCTGGATAGTAGTGGTTCACATAAGCACTCACCCACTCCTTAATGGCATCCCACAGAATGAGACCATCATTTGCAAATGGGTAGTCTTCAATTGTTAGCTTCAAGCCATGCTCAGCTGTAGGATCCTCAACTGCCATTCCCCTGAAATCCAATCAACCAAATATGAACAAGCAATTCAAATTCCGTGGGGTTTTCAGTGAAGTTTTCTTTGTAAAAATCGAAAATCTTCTTTGTACAAAGTTTCCTGCATCAAATAGTTTGGATTAGTCTTATGCTAGTTTTATCAAGTAAAATACCTTCTAATGAGATCTTCTGGCAAAGCTTCCATGTCAAATCTCCAAAGCTGGTCGTAAGCAACAGAACTGAACTCCGTGGAGTACTTTCCAAGTGAAAAGCTGCTCTCAATGATTCCACCTGCATTGATGAGGGTTTCTCGAGCCAGAGCATTGATTGCCATTGTATACCGGAAATGAGGGTGCAGAAGTCTGTAGATGGGATGCATTGCGCTTAATTGTCGATTAGCTGCAATTATGTATGGCTCTGTACTGCAATGAGTCCTCAGCCTGTGAAAATATAAAAGTACAAACAAGTTATTATCCATGACCTAGTCTCATAGTTCTCAATTGCCACAGCTACAATAACCGAAGTTACACACTTGAGCAGGAGGCATGATGTGAAGTTCCACATTCGTGGTTTCCTAATTACCACAGCTTAAATGCCATTTACACGACTAATTTGGTAGCTCAATGCCAATATAAAAAGGGATTTGAGCCATCTTGGGTACGCGTTTCTTACCAGTGCACGACAAGCTGATGATAGGCAGAGTCATGAGCAAGAACGTGGACCTTAGCAAGAATCCACAGCCAATGACCGGTGGCATCCCAGGTTGGAGTAAAGACTTGCTTCCATTGTGGCTTGTTACCAACAGGCGGTCGAGTGAGTTCAATGGCAATAGGCCTCAGTGTCCCATCTTCAGTGAGGAAGAATAGTGTACGAGAACCATACAGTGTGGTACCTTCAATCTCTCTTACTTTGTTCACGTAAGGCATGAGCAGGTCATGGTAATCCAAAATAAACATCTTTTTTCCTTCCAAGGCCTACATTTCATGTTCAAGCAATTTTCTTTTACTTAAAGCATAACCCGGTTGCAAGTCAAAGAGGTTGGGGTGTGTTTATTATACCTCATTGACAGTCATACAACCTTTGATCGCCTTCTCAACCACTTCTGTTGTGATCAATGATTCAGGGGGGCCATAAATCTCGGGGTCAAGTTTACTTTTCAATGGCCATTCCTGCATCAGGAAATTACAGAATTTATTGCCACTAGAGGAAAAAATAGAGTTTAACCAGCTAAAACAAGATACGCTTATCACTCTTTAATTACTTGATCAACAAGGAAGATGGCGACCTCGTGTGATAAATGGAATATACAAATTTGAATTTCTTGATTGAAGTGAAGGAGTTCTACAACTTCTACTTGTATCAGCAAAATAATAAAGAAAGCATACCGTCACTAGCTCAATACTATATGGATTAAGACCAGCTAGAGTTTGCCTGGAAAATGCATCGTCTCTAAACCAAGCAAATTTATCACCTGCAATAGAAGACAAGTGATATACAGGGTGAAGCCAACAATTTCGTGGTCTGTTTTCCTCAAGAGGGAATCATCATTTAGAAATTTGAGGGAGGGAGGCTTACGGTCAATTATTTCAGGGGTCTTAAAGTCCAGAAGTTTGTTTTCGCCACCTGTAATAGCCTTGACTACCCATGGGATAGTCTTGCCTAGCGCTTTCCAGAATGTCTTGGAAGACTCACCAGCCTTTGGCTTAGCTAACGTGACTCCTTCGTTAAACAGTGAATCTATGGCTGTGAAGTCTGTAAATTCTGGGGCTGGATCAAGAACTCCTGCTGCCTCGAGCGAAGGGATCAACATATGTAGCACAGAATTCAGGGTCTTTGTCAAAAATGTCAGCTGTTTCACCTCCGAAAACGCTTCATCTCTTGGTACATACACACTGCTGATTCTTTGTTTTCTTGGTACATACTCACTGCTGCTTCTTTGTTCTGACAAAGGATCTGCAATATTGGTAGAAAATATATGATACAAAAATCACATTGCTCTCATAGTTTCTCAGTCATACAATTTCCCACATCCGAAATTAGCATGTAATAAAAGAAAATGGTTCATAGCTTGAATCATTGTCCTCAACATTAAGTTCTTGAAGCACATGAGTTTCCATTTCAAAAGGCATAAACACAAATTTATTTTTGTACATGTGTGTTATGAGACACGAACCAAAACAAACTTTTAGTTTTCAGCGTCTAGAACACTGTTTTACTTTCATATATATGGGAGCTAATTGGCTGGTAAGGGTTTCTACACTCTTTTTCGTATATCTCTCTTGACGTGACTTCATATTCCAAGTGAGATAGAAAGAAGAGGTTGAGGGATTAGTATGCAATTAGTTGGTTATATAATTACCCTTTTCAGTGCGTGGTCTTCCAGTTCTGCAGCGCCTCGGGTACGGGTGATCTTTTCCGCCAAGGACAGGCCTAGCCAGTTCATCATCGTGGTCCGGATCGCCAAGGTCGTCATAAGTATCATAATCGTAGATCCTATCAGATGTTTTTCTTTGGCCCAACCCATCTCCTCGCAAAGTCTGCAGCTCAGATTCTCTTAGCTTCTTCAACCCACTTGGCGTCTCTGATGGTATGTACGACTGCTTCGAATCATTACATGTTCACACAAATTAACACATCAACTAATTTTGTGGAAGACTAAGTCAGCCAAAACCAGTAAAAACAAATGGTAATTTCAATGTTCTAAAAGACGCTTGACGCTAGACGGGCATCGGGCTGGGGCCAAGTGCCTAGGCAACTAGACATGATTTAGGCACGGGTCTACGCACTAAGCGGATTTAAGTAAATTTATAATATATTGTATAAATAAGTGCCTATATATACTTGAAAGAACACCTAATTGTAATGACATACATTAATTACAAAAAAAAAAAAGACATATAGATTGTATGGTATTAGAAAATATTGAAAAACAAGTTTCTTACATTTTATTGCCAAAATAGAACACAAAAAGAAAGTTATTCATTTTGTTTCTTAGTGAGGGTCATACATAGGCAAGTGCCTAGGGACTAATTGGGGCGGTGACTAGCTAGCGCCTAGGTGGGGTCTAGGTAGGGATTTTTAGAGAAGTGGTAATCTTAAGAAAGAAGATAAGAAAGTGATCACTTTTTCCTTCTTGAACAAAGCATTATTGATTAAAAAAAAACTTCAACAGTACATCAACGATGTATACAGAACATAAATATTAACTGCACTGCAAAATTGGAATAGTATAGCCTTCTAAAAGGCTAAATTAAAGTGCAGGGGAGTGCCAAAATTTATCATTAGTTATAATCCACATCTTCATCCAAGTCTTAAAAGCTTCCACATCACTATTAATCAAGACCATCAGATGTTATAAGATCTGATGGCTAAAAAAAATGTCAAAATATTTATCCATTGAGCCTAATCTCCCACACACACATACATGTATAATAATGAGAAAGCAAGGAAAATTTATAAGGATCTAAAATAGAGGACCAAAGCAAGGAAAATTTATAAGGATCTAAAATAGAGGACCTTGTTGGTGAAAAAAACTCTCTTCAGAGAATGAACCCAGGAATTGCAGGGAATATTAACAGTGCCGTTCGGGAAGCCATCGAGGTCGATGCTCTTGATGAAGATCTCCTCGTTGTGTTCATTCTCTATCTGAACAGCTCCAACGTCTCCAAACCCTGCTGGGATGGTGAAAGTAGCCTCATACACCACCTCGTCGTCTTTGTGGCTCACATTGTACGCATACCCCTCTGTTTCCTTCTCCAACCCCGTCTCTACAAAGCCCAATTCAAAAATATGTAGTGAATAAATTAATCCGTATTTGTAAAATTTAAATTGCTATTTGTTCATACAATTGTAAAATCATATGCTATATGAAGAAATTAAGTTGAGGTCCCATTAATGTGATAAAAATCCAACATAAAACCCATTAATGTGAAGAATTGAGGTTCTGCTATGTAAGGTCTCTCATCTCATCAATGTAGGATTCATGTTTGCAAAAAACAATATTGCGAAAAATAGTGGGCAAGTGGTGAATGGTTCGGATGGATATGGCATTCCTCTTTAAACTATCAGATTCAAACCTTTCCCCCTTCTTATGGTGTAGATCTAGATCCTGTTGTTCGTCCACAAAAACTTTCTAAGGTTTTGGAAAATACACTCAACACCTCCTAAGGTACCAAATTATTTTCACAAAGCCCCTAAACCCTTGATTTCCATCCAAAAATGATGATACCATCATAAATTTTCTTCAAATGACAAATACAAGCTCAAAGATTAAATTCACATTCATCCCTGAGTTTGTGTTACACACACATTCCGTAAGGCTTCAAATTGTTTTCACAAAATCCCTTCCGTTAATTTTCCATCAAAAAACAAATTTAACCTGAAAGATTAAATTAGATATACATCCTCGAGATCTATTTTGTATTTTCACATTTCACGTAACCTCTTTGTGGAGCCAAAAATAATCACAAGGCGACACGTGATTTTTTTGGTAAAAAGGACAAAGTTATCCCTGAGACACACCGGTTGTCTTACGCGCGAGCAGTGGACAATCATTCTTTAATCAAGCCAAGAGTGTCCAAAAAAGGTAACCAATTCCAAATTATCTCATCCATCCTCATCTTAGGTAATTACTTCATAACCTACAAATGATTCCATATAATGGATTAATTCCTAATTAATCTATGAATCACCAATTAAATCACCCATTTTCACACAAAAAACCTCTAAGGGCGGGCCACCTCCATTCCCTATACATATGACTCTATTTTCTCTAAAAAGCTAAGTTCCACACTCTTGCAAAAACTCCAAAAACTCTCTAAACACTTTTTCTCTCTAAATTCTAACTTTGGCATCGGAGGTTCTTCGGCCAAAGCCCCCTATTCATCGTCGGCGCGTGAGGCTCTTGGCCTTAACCCTAAGGTGTTAATTGTTTTGTAGGTGCAATTTTGTCCAAGAAGAAGAAGGAATAAATTTGCATCCACACTCTTCGTACGAAATAAAAAAGAATCATGATAAAATGTAACATTTTTAACGTAAAAATTATTCATTTTTTATTTATAATGTACCCATATTTTATGATAAAATTTAATTATATTTAAATTTAAAACGTACCTATATATTTAAAAATAAAAATAAAACAGTTTAATTTGAAAAAAAAATCTGATCATATTTCTCACAATTCAATTTGAAGAGAAAAAAATAAAAAATTCCTATTTGGTATTAATCTTTGCATGATTTTGGGAAGGATTTGATAAGTGTTGTTAGTAAATTTCTTAATTAATACCGAAATAATATTTTTGTCCTTCAATTAAAGTATTCAAATTAATAAACTTTAAATCTAAGATTTTGGTCAATTAGAAGCCGGAACCAAAGATTTTCCCACTAAAAAAAAGAAAAAAAAAATGAAACCAACAAAAGAGTTGGTAAAATGAGCAGCCCTAATGAAAATAGTTATTTGTGTTTGTGCGCGCGCGCACACACACATATATGAAATCTTTAAGGGAAGGGATCTCTATTTTTTTTTATAATAAAAATGGGGATTAGTTTACACACACACACACAAATATATATGAAATCTTTAAGGGAATGGATCTTTATTTTATTTTTTTATAAAAATGAGGATTAGTTGTATGGTCCACACTACATCGAACTTTAACGATCCAAACTTTCTATTTTTCAAGTTGCACCTCATGATAGATCATCCTTACAAAATATTAGCCAAATCGGAAATGTTTAAGACATCTAGTTGGGTTCAAAGAAATTAACGAATACTTTGTTATATAAGAAACTATGAAATTTTATCTTGATAATTAAATAGGCAAATGGTTTCAGATTGAATTGAATTTTTGCAAGGATGATCTATGAATCGAGACTTACAAAATAGACTGTTCGGATCGTTGAAGTTCGATGTGGAGTGAGCCCAACACTTAATCCCCATTTTTTGAAAAAAAAAATGGGAATCCCTTTGCATAAAAGGGCCTGATATATGTGTGTGTAATATATAGTCTCCTACCATGAAGGGATCCCACATAGAGATTCTTTGTGGATTCACTTCACATCGTATTCGAATGATCAAACTATCAATCTTTTAGGTATTCCTTCAAAGATTATCTCTATGAAATACCACTTTAATATGAAACCATTTGACCATTGGATTAAATGGTCAAATGAGTGTTTTTTTTTAAAAACCGTACACGTCTATGTTCTTCACTACAAATTGATACCTTAATGATTTTGGATTTGTCTAATTTTGTGCAAGAATGATATATAATGATGAACTGAAATATAGATAATTTGAATCATTGAAAAAAAGTTATGAAATGAGCACCACAAAGTGTCCCTCTTCCTCAAATAATTTTATTTGAGGCATCCTTCAACTGGAGGGGGTTATATAAATATGGAAAGTAATTTTCACACATCATTTTTAGCTTCTTACACAGCCCTATTATGTAATTCTAATAGTAGATTCTGTTTGATTTATTCAATTCAATTAACATAAGGAACAATGTGTTAGAAGCTAAAACTGATATGTTAAAATCACTTGTATAGACCTTGAAACCAATTGATTATCCAAGTACAGAAAGAGTCCGAATATAGATTTGAAAGGGGATTTCTGTCCATTGAATCAGGTGTCTGATTAGAGTTGATTTCCAATTGGTTTCTTTATATAGAAAAAAAAACAAGAAAGGCTGTTTTGAATAACCTTGGGGCAAATCGTTTGTTATTTTCGTGAAAAAAAAATAAAACTCGAACGAATAATGAACAACAAATATAATAGAAAAAAAAACTCACTTGTATCAAACAAAAAAAACTCTCAACTCTAAAAATATTTGTGGATGTAAAGATATAAATTTAAGATAATTATTAACTACGGTCAAACTGGCTGAGGCTGTAAGACAACTAATGGGAAATGTTATATATATATTCTGTATGCTTAAAGTACTGCTTGCTTACTGGGGTCAAGCTCGGCGCCAACAAGCTCCAAAAGCAAGGTTTTTCGAAGCAAGTCGATATTGTCATCGGGGGGACGATTCAAGCGTATGCTGGACCCTCCAGCTGTTACCGTCACCGTCACCAAAGCCTTTACCGTAAACGCCTGATTCTCCGTTGAAGTAACGGTGGACACTGCTGCAGGTGATGATTTGAGCTCACCAGAAGTGGCACGGATCACCAAGGAGGAGGATTTTTTCTTCTTACGATTTTGATGGACATGGTGGCGCGGAACGATGCTGATCAGGGAGGGGCTACCATCCTTAATCAGATGATTAGGGTTAATGGACGATTTTGGTAAGAGAGAGAAGGATGGAGCATAAAGCTGAGAAGTCATCATCTCACCTCAGAGTTGGATTAATATGCTTTCTAATTTGGTATAATTGTTTTTGAAAGCTTCTAATTTGCTAGAATAGTTTTGCAAGTTCATGCATTTATAGAGAGACTAGCCTTCATGCACGCGCTCACGCACGTGCAGAAGACATTTTTTGAATCACGGCATGTTATGCGTGATTTACACGTTTTAAATACATTTATATGTGTAAATTGACAAAAGGAAAGTCAAATATTTGAAGTAAATGAATAATCTTAGATCAAATATCGTTTGTTAAAAAAAACAATCATTTGACAACTAATTTAATCACATTATTATCCGCGTGGGAAAGATCTTTTTATAACCAGTGAATCACATTATTATTATCCGCGTGGAAAATACTTTTTTTATAACCGGCATTACACACCTCTTAAGATGTTTTGAACGTATTTAAAAATAGAGAAAATAATATTTCATGAACATCTGATTGAATCACATTATTGCTAGCCTATTGTAAGGTACTAATTTAAAAAAAAAACTGTACTAATTTATCACCGGTGCTACGTGCCTCTTAAGATGTTTTGAACAAAGCATTTATGATTTTCTTTATTTTTTATTATATTTTTTCCCCTTCACGTGGGCACCATCAACTTTCACTCATCCTTCTATTTTTTATATTTTTTTTCTCCCTCCCCACTTATTATTTATATTATAATACTATATTTTATGATGATCAAATTACCAAATTACCCTTGCATTATTTGGTATATTATTGGCCGAATTTGGTTGACAAACAAGTGAGATATGGAGTTCCAAAGTTTGCCCAGAAAATCTGCAAGATCTGCAGAATCAGGCGAAATTTTGTTAAGGTCCGCCACTTGAATATTATAGCAATCGACGATCCGACTGTTGGATTGTCACTAAACTTTAATACATTATAGTACGTAATATTTGAGGACCATAGAAACTTACGGATCGGGAATCCGACGTATGGATCTTCCCGAATTAGATTTGTAAGTTTATAAAATAAAACGTTAACAGCCACTTGAATTTACAATTGGCGGAGATGCAACTGTTGGATCGTAATGAAACTTTAGGATGTTGTTCTAGAAGCATAATTTGGATCTTTGGAAGTTACGGATCGGAAATCCAAGAGCGAATCTTCCGAATCGAGTTATGTAGGGTTGTGGACCTTACCGTCGACCTCTGACCGAAGGTTGACTTCTGGAGTCAATGAGTTTCAAATCATTCTAGAACATCCTTGGATGATGTGTTTTATGTCAATTACGTGTTCTATCAGTAAGAATTCTGAGACGTGATTTGATAATTGTTCTAGGCGACGATCGTCCGAGACATCTCGATATTCGTGTTAGGGAGTGTAGCGCAGACCTTAGGTGAGTGGGCTTTTTGGTTTTCTATATATACGTATATACGCTTTACATTTTCCCAGAAATTGTTTTAAATGGATCTACGTTTTAAATGCCATATCAAATGCATCACATTTTAATTTATACATTGGTACAGATATGCATAATGTTGCATGACGCTGCGGATGCTTAGGTAAGTTTCAGGTGAGTATATGTTAATGATAGAGATTGCAGTGTATATGATTGTGATTAAATACATTTAGTACTCATTATCCTTCACCCCGGTGTTAGTGCTCCACCCGAGGTTAGGGCCTAGCCTTCACGTGATCGTTTACCTCCCGCACCATACGCTCACCTTGGATCCAAGACAGGTGCTAGCCTGTCGTACAGACCACATTAGGTGGTTCCGACTCGTAGGTGACTTGTGATACTTCGCACAGCCTTCACGTGATTGTAGCACTTAAGTGTATCTATTTACACCCAGCCTATCGTACAGACCACATTAGGTGGTTCCGACTCGTAGGTGACTTGTGATACTTCGCTGTAGCGTAGACCTCAGGTGAGTGGGCTTTTTGGTTTTCTATATATACGTATATACGCTTTACATTTTCCCATAAACTGTTTTAAATGGATCTACGTTTTAAATGCCATATCAAATGCATCACATTTTAATTTATACATTGGTACAGATATGCATAATGTTGCATGACGCTGCGGATGCTTAGGTAAGTTTCAGGTGAGTATATGTTGATGATAGAGATTGCAGTGTATATGATTGTGATTAAATACATTTAGTACTCATTATCCTTCACCCCGGTGTTAGTGCTCCACCCGAGGTTAGGGTCTAGCCTTCACGTGATCGTTCACCTCCCGCACCATACGCTCACCTTGGATCCAAGGCAGGTGCTAGCCTGTCGTACAGACCACATTAGGTGGTTCCGACTTGTAGGTGACTTGTGATACTTCACACAGCCTTCACGTGATTGTAGCACTTGAGTGTATCTATTTACACCCAACCTGTCGTACAGACCACAATAGGTGGTTCCGACTTGTGTGCAGGAGTTGGTTATGAGCTATAGGCTCAGCCGTACAGGTCACATTAGGTGACTCCGACTGACATATCATTTTACACTAATTTATTTCACCTGACTTACTTATTTCATTGCTGAGATACTTGACATGGCGTATACTTGGTTTTCACTACTCTTGAGCATGATTTCTATATACGTAAGTATTACTATTTTCTGGGAAACTATACGGGTTTTACGGTGAGGGGTTATTATTATTATTTTGAAAAGAGAAATGGTTTTTGAAAAGCTTTGTTTTTTCCCACTCATGTTTTGCGCTTCTCCAGGTTTTAGTAGCAAAGTTTCCGTATCGACGAGGATTCGTGGCATATCCCAGTACAGGTGGCTTCCTATGATGGTATAATCATTATCTTACCCTACTGTACTTTACTTATGCTTTGACGACACGTGTGAAGTGGGTGCATACCCGCTCACCAGCGCACTCTGGTAGTTAGGCACTTTTAGGTTTAAATTTATTCACACTTTCCACATTAGTACACTTTATGGCTTCGTTACCTTCCAGGTGTCGGCCAGCACAGCTCGATTCGGAGTCCTAGTGGACATTCCGGGTCAGGGTGCGTCAGCTATAATATTATATTTTATGATGACCAAATTACCAAATTACCTTTGCATTATTTGATATATTGTATTGGGCTGCTTTTGGATTTTTTGGCCGATGGGCAGTTTGGTCCAATTTTTTTGTCGAAGCCAGTGACACCAAAACAGCCTTCGGCCGGTACATAGGACCTTATGAGGTCACTGAAAGGATTGGTGAAGTTGCTTACAGATTGGAGTTGCCTCCGGAGTTATCTAAGGTACATAATGTGTTTCACGTCTCAATGCTTCGACATTATGTTTCAGATCCTTCACATGTAATCCCTTCTCAACCTTTGGAGATTAATCTGGATTTGACGTATGATGAGGAACCAATGACTATCTTTGATTGGAAAGACAAGGCTATAAGGAATAAGACAGTGAGTTTGGTAAAAGTATTGTGGAGGAACCACTCAGTAGAAGTAGCTACTTGGGAGACAGAAGATCGAATGAGAGAGATGTATCCGAGGTTATTTTATGAGTATTAGTGGATTGATTCGTTGTGTGAATTTCGAGGACGAAATTCTATAAGGAGGGGAGATTGTCACAGCCCGTCCCAAAATTTTATTTATCGTCGATGTGAATTGACGGAATTACCCCTAACGGTTTGCTAAGGTATGGGTGTGACATATTATTTGTTTAAGCATATTCTCCTAAGTTTTTGAAAATGGAATTTGATTAGAAAATTTTATGCATTTGGTATGGTTAGGAGATATTGTGGACCACACACAATTCCTTCCCTCTCTCACTCACCCCGTGCCCTCTCTCTCTCCTCCCTCACGGCTCTCTCTCTCTCTCCCTCTTGAAAACGTACGGGCAAAGCACCAAACCCTTGAATCTTCACGGATCGACGCGAAAAAGGTAAGGTTCGTCATCCTTTCGACCTCCTGAGTTGAATGGTACCATTTTTAGAACTTAGAATCCTCGAAATCACGTTGAAAACTCGAGGTCCGATTTGGGTACTGTTCATGCATACGTGATGTGTTGATTTTCAGGGAATTCTAAGCTTGTAGTGAGCTTAGTGAGGTCCTAAGGAAGCTCGGAGTGCTTAGTTTGAAGGTTTTGGACGTCAAGATCGTTGAGTTCGAAGTTGGCCGGTTTTCTTGGAATTTCTCCGGTGAGATTTCGTAGTTTTTAGAGCCTTAAAGTAGTGTAACGTGATTCTACATGTTTAGGGCTTCATTTTGATATAAAATGCGTGAAAAATGGTTAAGAAATGACGGAGAAAATGAAGTGTGAAAATAACCCAAAAACCGGCGAGTTTTCAGGCACCGGCGAAACCAGTCCGGCGACTGGAGGTAGGGGATGATGCGCATGGGGGCGCGTGGACCCATGCCCATCTCGGCGCGTGGGGGTGCGTGCAGCATCATAAAATTATTCTAAAAATACCTCGACGTCCGTGACGTCGAGTAGGTCACTGTGGTATATTCATATATCCAAATTGAGCACCGTATGAGAAGTTATTTTGAATTGTTGGTTATGTGCTTTAAATAATATTTTTATAGTTGTTTCGCATATAGGTGAGACCTATCCCGAGGATGAGTGCGTTCAAGGGCGTCAAGGGGGTTACCACCCTTCGACTTATCAGTGAGTGGGCAGTTGTTTTTCTGTATTTACCTATATACTATCGACTTTTCCCAGAAATTGAATTTAAGTGATACTATGTTTTTTTAAATGCCATGCATGCATAATATGAATCATATGAATTAATAATTGATGCATATATATATGTGAATTGGTGTTGTGGACGCACATGTGAGTATCAGGTGAGTTTTATGTTATTCATATGAATTGTCGATGATGTGTATTATATTGATAACTCATAACCTGCACCTTTGATGTTAGTGCTTATATTATTTACCTCACACCACACGCTCACCTTGGATCCAAGTAGGTGCTAGTCGTACATACCACTAGAGATGGTTCCGACATGCTAGTCGTACAGACCACTAGATGTGATTCCGATTGGTAGGTGACCTTAGATTATGTGCACAGATGATTGATGAGAGAAACCCTAGAGCGTATTATTACACCATCATAGTCGAACAGACTACTATAGGTAG